CTGATAACACGTCTGTATCAAACCTCACATTCCTCCTTTGCATCACTCGTGAAGAAGAACATCCCAGAATATCTGCGCGCTCTCTCAGCCCTGAGGTTCTGGGACTAAACACCTTCGTGGTTAAATTTAGGCGTTGAAAATGAGGTGCAGGCTGTTTATCATCCATGTCACCTCCGTGAGTCTGCACAGAAAGACAGACTCTGCAGCAGTAAATCTCGTGACCCTCGGTGTGTTAGGTCGGAATTAGAAGCTCGCCACACCGATGATCCAGCTGATGTACGAGTCGTGGTGAACTTGACGTGTTGAATTTACCTGAGACGTTTCACTGACAGCTGCAGTGCTGTTTTTGTTTTTCACAGGTCTGAACTGAAGACTTTAACCTCACTGAACCACAAACCGATCGGCCGTATTTAACCCTGATGAGATTTTTGCTTTTATTAATGGAGCTAATCAAGTTTACTCGGAGTAAATCACTTTATGCAGCATTCAGGTTTGCAATATTAAAACTAAGACTCAGGCTAAGCTGCAGAGTCCTGACTGAGCGCAGACAGAGAGCACATTTCCCCATCATTAGTGTCTCTGTGGAGAAATGAATTTAAAATCCTTAAACGTCAGGCCCGATTAAAGACCTCGTAGCAGCACATCCTCCACACACTGCAGGCTGACTCGTGGTTTGCAGAGTAACTCAACGTTATAATGGAAGGCACAGCAGTCAGGACGCTCTCCTGTGGAGCGAGTCGCAGTAATAAATACAAATGAACTTTCTGTGAATCTCATTTTGCTCTTACACAAAGGCCACGTTTACAAAGTGCTCTGTGCTATTTTAGGTGTGTGTGGTCAGTTTTTCTCGACGCTCCGTTAATAAATGCATTTATGCGGATTGATAAATGCTGAGGCCAATATTCCCAAAACACACACATGTGTCTGCAGATGAAAGTGTGAACAGACCTGTATGTGTGTCTGTGTGTGTTTCAGTTTACTGGAAAGGGAAAGGAACCCCTCCCTCCCCTGAGAACTGACCGCAGGACAACCTCACACAGACCACCTGAAGGTGTGACTGTGTGTT